TTTTTTTTTTTTTTTTCACTTTTGCCCGAACATCTACTTCATATTGGTAGGAAAAAATTATCAAATTTTTCACTTCAGAGGAAACATTTACTCTGTAACATTTCTCTCTGAAAATATTGTCTCAAACCAAGACAGGGCCCTACACATCTGSCAGAGGAAAGCAGATGGCCTCCAGGGCAAGTTAAAACAGTTCAGATCCCYTTGGAGTTCAGTGGGATCAAGCAGGTAAACAAGCTATGGAGCAAGAGGAGGGAGTGCCCTCAGGCAGTTGAGGATCAAACCTAAATTTGCGGAGAAGCAGCTGTTCAGAAAATTAGAAATGGAGATTTCTCCCACCCCATTTCTACCACTGTCATGAGGAATGCTACAGGGCAAATAGAGAGAKGTTCTTCAATTTGGCTTTTAGAGACACTTTGTCTTTGAGAAACTCTTCCGTTCTTTGGGTATAATGAGCTTTACTTAAAGAAAYAATATACATCATTCGGTTCATTTCACTTTCCTTCTCTGTCAAYCAGTCCCCAGCCTGACTACCCACAATCCCAAAAGGCCACTAAAATTAAAAAATAAATAAATAAATAGCTTCTGTTTCATGATGCTACTTTTCTGTTGAGTTTCACAACCCACCAGACCATGTTAACCTGCCCAAGCAGCTGAGCTGCCCAGCAGTCCATCAAGAGAGAAACGAGAGCAAGACATAGAATTTGGTCCACAGCAGAAATGTAACAAATCAGCGCACAGGGAGACACATCAACCACTAGAGCAAAAGGAAGAAATGAAGCATTYCAAACAGTAAAAAGCCTATTCAGATGCCTAAATAGCATGTCTAGCTGTCCCACAGCCAGCAGGCACTGTTTAAAGGGTCCATAGTTTAAACAGCTGGAGAGATTGGAGAGTTGTTGAGAGCTTGTTAAGTTCTAAGACCGTCGGTTATAAAAAAAAGGTAATATGAAAGGCAAAAACCACTTCTGCCCTTGAAGCAATGGTGGGAAAAAGATTTTTCCCACAATACTTCACAAGTGAGTAACCAGTGCAAGGAATGCAGCTTATGCCTCTTCCTCACACACCTACAAGAGGAAGAGTGAGATTCATCTTTCTTCTGAATCACTGGAGATGTGCCTTAACTTATTCCTCAATGCTCTGATGGTCCTATTGATGATATTCAGCACACCAGCTGAAAGGATCATGAATCTTGTCTCTATGCTCAAGGTAAAATTGCTCCCAAATGTGAAATCCCAGATGAACCCTCCCCCCAGCYCCTGTCTGGTCAGGTCACCAGGGCTGCCAGTCGGCCCCCCAGGCTGCTGAGAACTTTTCACCAAACACATTTCTTTTACAGCCTTGGTGATGTCCTTGCTTTCTTTTCCTTTCTTCTGGCTGCTGCACATAGGGAAAAGCTTATGGGGCCATTCTGGCTTGGTTTTGTAGCTTTTAGCAATGGGAATATTCTCAGACTACGGCAAGGTCTTTGCCTGTGGCCAGAAGGGTCCCCTTTGTGATCTGTTGTGAAGATCCTTGCATTTCTCAAGCGCTTTAGGCAATGGGGTTCAAAGTGCTTCAGTAACTTTGAAAAAWACCCTCACTTTGTGGTGTCACACATCTCTCCACATCACATATGGAGTCAAGCCCAGGTTTGCTACTCACTCACACTGCCTGCAGTGATGGTGCCTTGGGGCTGCTCCAGAACCACCTAAGCCTGTAGTCAGAAGCCACCAAAGATTCCCCAAAATGCCTTCATGGACTGTGTGGACTAGAATCCTCCCATCACCGTGTCCCACCTGTCCCAGTGTTGCCACCCACTAGAGAGCAGGCCCAGGTTACATCCCCAAAGCCCCCCACGATATTGCTGCAAGGGCTGGGACAGGATTTGTCAGCAACTTGAATGGGGTAAGAARACAATTTTGGGGTGTGCTTTGGACTTTGAACCACTGCTGACAAACCAGTTGTTAATGTTATCCCACCTTTGCTTCTCAGKGATCTGCAGCCCACTGTGAAGCAGAGCTATAATAACAACATGGCTCTTCCTCACTCTTTAAGCAGTAAAGAGGATTTTATCTCCTCTCTATGATAGTCCCATCAAAAATTGTTTATTAAAAACTCAACAGCTCCTGTAGATTAATCCTCACTTTAATATGTGCTTTAGTAGGAGCAACAAAAATAACTCAGCTGTAAAGACAGCCCAGAAAACATTCCTCACCACAGACACCGTAACAGACAGGGTGGTGAATGGGTTTTTTTTTTCTGATGATTTTCATTATTATGCTTTATCAGAGCCTGAATTCAGGATAAATTCTGCTCTAATTGACCTGACACATTTTCTCACAGCGTAGACATACTGAATGAGGTCTCTGTGCTCATAGTCCATCTCTCTGATTCTTTGATTCTTAGATAATAAATATATCARTGGGACTATTTGGGGATATGTGATACAATAATCTTCACCACTGAATAGAAAACTCACAGCATAAAGTCTCAGCCTTAAAATGTAATGAGATGTTTCAGGCCAGTCTGGGGTCTCCAACAAGATACTGCCATAAAACATGCTTCTCTATTTTGTTTTCAGCCTCTACTGTTTACTTGCACTTACCCCAGGACTCTTGCAAAAATACAACCAAAATTTTCAGCAAACATCCATATATTAACATATCTCTTCTTGGCTAGCCTTCTTTAAAGTGAGAAGCCATTAAAGCTTCAGGTCTGTGCACATTTAAGGAGCAAGATGAGAATGACAAAGAAGGGAAACCAGCAATAAGGCAAGTAAAGTGTACATTTGGGACTGGGAGGGGAATAAAAGTGTTCAGAGCTCTGCCTTAATCTCGGGAGGCCATTCCTATTCAGAAACAGATGTAAGCATGAGCACAAGTATGAATCTRAACCTATGTTCTCTTGTTTCAGCTGGAGTAGAGTCAGAATTTCCAAGAACATTCTCTGTTCCCAGTTAAAGATTTAAAATGTTTATCCATGCTTTCTTTAAACTTCAGTATCATTTTTCCATTTTAAATCCAACTTTGCCTTCAGGGCAATTATTTTGCTGTATTTCATGTATCCCTGTTCGCTTGTTTCAAATAAATCAATTATCTTTAATGCTATACAAAGTTATTAGGCAGCATTACAAATGCACCAAAATATATTCACTCTCTGATAATCTATGCTTTCTAATTCCAGTCATCTTTCTGCCTTCTGCTCGAAAGCAAGATGGCCAATTTCAATTCATAGGCATTTATGTGATCARGATCTTAGAGCCACAGGAGGCTATAACTTGGGCATTGCTAATTCTCTGTGTTTTCCTGGACTGAACTTCTCACAATCCTATATGAGAACACCTACAGCATGTTTTACATCAATAGCAAATTCAAGGATGATAATGCAGCATTTTCTTTCATACATACAGCCAACCTGTGGGCTGTTTATCTTCAAAAGGTTTAATAAATAGAGAAAAATTCAAGTTCCATATTTGGGACCATCTTTTCATAGTTATTAAAAGAATTTTATTAAAACATTGAGCATTCCTGAAATAAAGTCTATTTTAACTCTGCTGCAAAAATTAAAAACATGCAATTATGAGGATCTAAAATCATTGAAGAAATTCAAAAATGTACTCCTTTAAAGAATATTTTTCAATTAAAAAGGGGTCATAGCTTCAGGATGCTTCCTGAACATATCATGCACCCTACCACCAGCAGCGAGAAATCTCTGAAGCTCTCAAAGCACTCCTGAAAAACTGGGGGGGGAAAAAAAAGGGCTTCTAATTACTCTTCTCAGATACTCTTTAGGGTGAGACTGTCAGGAACAGCTGCCATTGTGTCAAAATTATGCTTGAGTAATTAGCTGAAGACCATAAAAAACAAATCTGCAGAACACAAAGCACAGAAATTCTGGCCTGGGGTAGTTTTTAAAATGACCACACAGTAGAAAATACAGAATTACACAAATTGTTAAACTGAGTTGGTTACATAAACCAAGCTGGTTACAAGCAAGTTATTCAAATAATGACTTTTTTTACTGATTAAAAACAGGCTGTTATACTTGGATCCTGATTTATCTTTAGTTAAACACCACTTAAATCCACATTAAGTCACTGTGTTCTCGTCAACAGATTTTAGATTGAGTCAGCTCTGTGCTCCCTACAAAGGGTTATTTACTCTTTTAAAGCAAACACCATTTTATATGACTGTTGGATAGAGAGCTGTGTGAGTTTAATCAGTCATAACTCACTTAAGAGTCAGAAAACAAGCTTGAACAAATGGTACCCAATGTTTGTCAGAGAAATATTTATAACAGTTTCTCCTTCCCAGTGTTCAGTCTCATCTGGAAAATGAGGAAATAAAAATGTTTTCCCCCTCAGTAGAAGTAAGMAAGCTGTCAGTTTAAGCTCTGGTTACAAAAGTTAAATGTGATGAGGATACAATATCAATCACCTTAGGGGGAAAAARCAAGGACTGTAGCTCCAACCCCATCCTGGCTGGACAGGAATTTTCAGAAATKCTTTCTCAATGCTGGGCACTGAGCTGTACAGAAAATGAATGAAGAGAGAGGTAAGCCATCACTTGTGCAGCAGTTAGTGTTAACATAAGCTTAGGGAAAAGGGCTTTTAGCCCTTGATCTTCTGCTGCTTAGTTGAAGACAGCGATGAACAACTATGAAAAAACTATAGATAGAGAGGCAGATGTAGCACTACATACTGAATACCAAAATAAACATAGTCTCATTCTGAAATATAAGGGGGGCAAAAAGAATCAAACCACATTCAAATTCTCCATCGGTTGGTTGAAAGTTTGTTTTTTGATTTTGTTTAAAATGACATTTTTCCAACAGACATCCAACTTCAATAAATGCACCTTTTCATATAGAAAATAACTCAGCACAGCCTCTCCTATGAAAATATTTTTCTCCTGGCAGAACCAGGTTTCATGTCTAACCTCAGATGGTCTGACTACATTGAGAACAATCAACCACTTTTATTTTTAAACAAACATGAAGACATATTCACTGTCTTTAAAAAGCAGTTTTCTACAGCCTTCAGAACACAGACGACAGAAGAAAAAATAGGGCAGTTTTGCACTACTTCCTTTAATTTTATTGAGTGTCAATCTATATAATTAATATCAAGTTACTTCATTCCATGAAGAGCAAGACACCTTACAGTATAAAATTCCCTGAGACGCAATATGCAGCTTGATGGATCTCATGATTCTCTATTCCATTTACATCATAATCAAAAAGTAATGACAATTCTTCTTATAAAACCCAGAAGATAATGGTCTTCCCTTCTCTCCCTCCACCCCAATATTTTAAGGCATGGAATAAATTTTTTTTTCAAAATGTATTCAAGGAAATTTGTCTACTTAAAATAGAAAACAACTTTGCCTAATTTTTACAAGTGGATTGTGTATGTCATCTGCAATGCCTTGAGGAGCCTGGTACCCCATCTGGAAAATCTACTCAGGCAAACTTTATACTTCTCATTGAACTGGAGCTCAACAAAGTGCAATACAAAAGCCAGTCCTTTGCCAGAAACAGGACACTATTAGCTCACGGAGTGGACGAGCCAAAACCCAGAGATTTATAGAGATGCTGTAATACTGACTTCAGCAACTGTAGGCCTGGGCTGAGTTTCCTCCCAAATGGAAAGCAAAAAGTTTACAACACCCCTGTAAGAATGATGAAACTAGTAACGGCTTCTCTTTTCCCAATGCAAGTGCTCTGCAATAATTACTACAAAATTGCAGTTTTCACCACACAGTTCTTGAAAATCCTCARTGCACAATTTGCAAATACTGTGCAGTTGTGATCATCTTATGAAAATATAATGCTCTAAGTGCTGTATAGCTCTTTTCTGAATTTTACAAAACTACCTCCTCAAATATTTCAACTGCTTTTTTTAGAGGCTGAGAAAAAAATTTACTTTTGCAATCTTTGGAAATTTCCATGCTCCTGCAGCCTGATCTTCTGCCTGTGGCATTACRAATGATTACACAGAAGAACTGTGCACCTGGAAACTTTCAGAAAATGCTAAAAAAATTAAGAGGATTGAAAAAAAATGCACTAGTTTTAGTAGACTGGTAAAAAGTAGTGCAATCTTAAATGTTCTCTCATCACTTTTAAGATTGGGGTTTGGTATGCATTTACATGAACTATGATAACAACTGAACAGAAAAAAAATATTATAAATTCAAAGGGAGAGAGAGAACCTATCTGCCTGACACTTTGATATTACTGTTAATGCTATATCTAAATTAGAGTTTTAAAAATATCAAACCCATTGTTACAAGAGTAGTAARCACTGCTAGAAAAGCAGATGACCATGCCATGAAGAACATGATTTCACTTTAAACAATCACTTTATACCTCTTGAAGTGAAAGCACAGCATTAGGAACTATCCCTCTTATAYCCCATATTGCAAAGATCATTTTTGCTCCTTTGCCAATAAATATTCTACAGCAATTCTGGCAGTGATAAAAGAAARTTTCATCAAGAACCTTCAGCCATCCTTCCTTGCACAAAAGCRGAAGGCAATAAACACAGAAACCTGCAAGATCTAAACAGGTAACACAGTGCAAATCATTAATGAACTTCATTATTATTAGTTTTTTTCCAACAATCCTTGGTTCCATGCTTACCAAATCACTAGGAATATCCAGCTTGAAATAAATTACAGTAGACTGCCTGCTTATATATCTTAAAAGCACTCATCTGATATCCCATACTGCTGAAATCAAATCTAATCCTTTCCTAACCTAAATATCATTCACAAATGCCAGTAAACTCGCCTGTTCTGATGCCCATCTTTTATTTGCAATTGAATTTTTTTCCCACCTGTTCTGTGCCCATCATTTTATTCTGAATGAAGTCTCTGAGTAACTCCAAGGATTACCGAGCTTCTTAAAAAGAAGCAGAATGAATACCTTAATCATTYGGGCAGGACTCATGTGGGTTACCATCTTTTCACCACCAAACTTCATAGCTGCAGAAGACAGGGAGGCTCAGCTTGCCAAAGATGTGTAATTGTAACTGAAGTTTCTTTCTTGCTTTCTCTGAGCAAGACTACATGTAACGAAAAAGTAACAATACATCAACTACTAGGATGACTCCAGCAAAATGTCAGTGATTGAAAGGGTAATTACAGTAAATGTTCCCGACTGGCACTGAGAGAAGGAAGTTTTACCTTAAGAACCTGTTTATTGATTAAAAAATGAGCCAGAAAAAAACCTCAAAACCAAAGGAAAAGTAAATAGTAAATCCTCCCCTTTTAATATTCTTTCTTCACAAGATGTGTATKGTACCAACAGTATAGATCTTATTCTCTACAGTAATTTTCTTTTTGAAAGAGAGTGATTTGGGAGTTTTGTGGGAGGGTTTTTTTTTTTGTAATTATTATTTTATAAATAGCAAAACAGCATTCTGAGCAGTCTGTCCCCAGCAGAACTTTTGAAAATGTCATGAACCAGAGYAATTGCTACACAAGAGCACTGTCAATTGATACTTGAGAAATAAGTTAGCCTTTCTGTGTGTATATATTCAATATAGCAATAAAGCCTTGGCCATTCTGAGTCTTTCCCTGCATTTTCCTGTAGGGCAATAATTTTGCAGAGAAAAATACACAGATATCTGTAAACATTTTCTAATTCCTGAATAAAGGGAGGGTGGAAGTGTACCGACATTTTTCCCCTATAGTCTGTCTTTTCCTGTACCTTAAGTTCTACTCCACTTTCATACAGGATAAATGTGCCTATGGTTGGTGGGTAGTAAAGAAATACTCTACATCGTCTGAGCTGCTTGTCTACTCAAATTCCATCCCCTCCATATGTTTTTTCCTAAATGGAATAATTATTTGGTTCAAAGCATTATTAGCGGGCTGCWGCAATTTCAAGCATTGCTAAAAGGTGCTACTGTATGATTACATTCTTAAGTTCAACACTAGCGGCTCAGAATTTGTCTGTAAATAGCCTTCACACATATTAAAATCAGTTTAAAACATTCATTTTTGTCTTAGTATTACAGAAAACCAGCACTGATCATGTATCCTCTGTGAGCAGAGGAGTTTCACGGTCCAGGAAGTTGTCATAGCCACCAAAATTGCTTTCAGCTGTACAGCTGAAGAATTTGGCATCAGATATGTTGAGCCGTGCAGGACTTTAAAAGTTCCGGATCTGTATGACTTTTGGAAATTTAGCTTTGCTCTTAAGGAATTATCTGACATGATGTCTCTTTGTACTTTCAATAATTTTCCCTTCAATAAAAATCTTCATTTTGCAGGCTTTTCACAGCTTGTTTTCCTGTACCTGTATGCTTCTCTCACTGATGCCAGCCTTCTGTGGCTAACGCCGACTAACTTGGCGAATGACCTCTGTGAGACCCATATTTCTCTACTCCTTGACGCTGGCCCAGGCTRTCCAGGCAAACCTCACCCTCCGGGAACATCAACTTTCAAACCAGCTGGCCAGATTTTGAACAGTCTTGATTTGATTCCCAGCTACCCTAACAGCCTCACAGACCTTACAGAAATGCTCATCCCAGAACGAGGTGACGTGGACTTCGTATTTCTTCCTCCAGGCAAAGTACCGCCTGTAGTTGGGCTTGTTTTTATCGAGGAATTTCAGGTAGGTGGCCAGCAGGCGGGGACTCGGGAAGTCGTCAACGTGGATGAAGGAGTCGGGGGGAATGAAGCGCTCGTAGTTGGCCCTGCGGGGTCCGAGGACGACGGGCACGGCGCTGGCGGAGAAGGCGTTTCTCCAGAGCTTCTCGGTGATGTAGTCGGTGTGCTGGGAGTTCTCGAAGGCCAGGTAGAACTTGTAGGCTGAGACGGTCTCCACCAGGCCGCCCTCGGCCAGCGCCAGCCCCCGCGCCCCGTACACGTCGATGGGCAGGTGCTCCTTCAGCTGGCGGTAGTAGCGCACCCGGGCGTGCTCCTCGTTCCAGTTGCTGATGACCCAGGCCACCAGCCGCGTCTTGCGGGGCAGCACGAAGGGCCGGGGCGCCGGCGGGACGTAGAGGTACCCGTAGGGCACGAACACGTCGGAGTCGCGGCGGTAGGACATGGTCCAGTTGAAGAGCCCGGCCAGCCCCCGCAAGCCGGGCGAGTGCGACGGAGACTCGAAGTTCATCCAGACCCAGCGCTGCCGCGGGGGCCGCGGCGGGGACCCGCGGGGCAGCTCCCCGGCGCCGTGCCGCACCAGGTCGCGGTGGTGGAACAGCACCGCCTGAGCCTCGCCGAACCGGCTGCGGTCGGCGCTGAGGCGGCAGCCGCTGATGTTGTAGCGCCGCCGGCAGTCGGCCAAGCGCCGCGGGCGGCCGAAGGGCTCCCACCACAGTAGCACGGTCATCGGCTCGCCCTCCGCCCAGGCCGGCTCGGGCAGCGCCGAGTAGAGGGCGAGCGCGGCGGCGGCGCCCAGCAGCCCGGCCGCCAGAGCCCACCGCCGCCCGC